AATTTAACACATATGAACCCATTTATGTGTGTATATACGAGTAGATCTGTAAATGATGATCTGGGTTTTCAATGCAGACCATATATAGAGGAGGAGGGAGGAAGTTTGCCTTCCAGAATTTGGCACCCTTGGGTTGCTTACCAGTGGCAGATAAATTATTTGAAAGTAACCATGAATGTGCTGAACTACCCACAATCATGGCGGCACTGCACAATATAAAGCTTTTGGAGACACTGCAGAAGTTAGTTAAAACCTTAGATGGGTTCCAATTCACTGTCTTCAATTACTACGACGCTGTCTTTCTGAGACTCAACAGTGTTAAAATCTATGGTATCTACCAACCTCTAAACATCTATGTATTTTAAAGCTATATTATGTAAGTTAATTTGAAGTCCGGTTTTTTTAGGTTCGACTCAAAGTATAAGTTAATTTGAAGTCTGGTTCTTTTAGGTTGGAGTCAAACTATAGTTTTTATTTAAAAGTTATATTATGATTATGTATGTACTTAATTGAAAGTTATGTTATAATTGATGTATAAACATTTGCTTAAAAGGGTTCAGGAAGAAGAACGCGTGTTGTTCTATTCGAGAAACAGGGGCATGTAAGATAAAACATGGTGATGAAGGGGATGATTCAAAGAAATGCGAGAAGCCGGGGAAGTACTTGTTCTTCGACGGGGAACATGGGACAGAGAAGGCAAACGAACAAATGGCACATTTGATGTGGAGTGCAGATCCTGGAGTAGTTGGGCCTGTGAACTTGAGGGAGTTATTTGTTTACCCATTGACTGCACCTTTTGATTACGTGGTTTCTGATAGTCAATTCGCAGCCACAACATACCAGAAGATCAAGTTACATGAAGAAGAAGAAGATGAAGAAGGAGAGAAAGAAGGAGAAGAAGGAGGTCTCGTTTTTTCAGCTTAAGTTAGAAAAACAGTACTTTAGTTTAAATATGTGTAAAATTACCACTGATGACTATAATCAACATGCATTAATCATATGAATTGCCAGTGGGTTAATGAATAACTGAATCATCTGAGAGATTTTAACTATTTTTATCGTACTAATTCGTAAATTTTTTGTAGAACTCTTGATTTTTGATACTTAGCAAATCATTTTAATTCCATTTGGTTGCTTGATTTTTTATTTTCTCCAGTTTCTTAAGTTGCATTTGGTTGGGTTTTTAACTTGGCTTTTGTATTCCGAAAATATATTTTTTAAAACTAAATACATAAAATTCAAACTATTTTTAGTAAAAAATAAAAGCTAAAATCTAATTTTTAACACATTTAAATACAAAAAATATAATATGTAATTTTTAGAAAATAATTTTAGTTTTTATTAAAATTTATACTTAAAATCTCAAAAACCATTTTTCCCAAATATATAATTTGTCTTTTTTTTTTAAGAAAAAAAAAACTAGCATTAATTTCTAATATTTGATCTATAAGCATAATTTTTTCTTTAGAACTTGTATTTTTACGTAATAGGGCTTATAATACTTTTAATTAATTTTAATTATATCAAAATTAATATATAAATATAATTTTTTAATTTATTATTTAATATAAAAATAAAGAAAAATAGGTGCAGAATGAAATTGAAAATAATTTTGAAAAAAAAAGTTAAAATTTTGGTTATGAAAGTATTTTTTTAAAAAAATCGAAAAATAGATGTCAGAACTTAATTTAAGAAAATTGTGCTACGTAAAACGTTCAGTTAGCAACTCCGACGAATCGAAGCGCGCCGTGTGGCAAGGCACGTTGACGAAGTGCCAGCGAGAGGCCACGCTGGCGATTTGCGTGCCCGTGATCGGGCGGTCCGGATTTGTTCTCGCACGCATGGACGGTCCAAATCCGTTCTCGCTTTAAAACGCGATCAGATAATCCAGATCAATTCGCAATGAACAGTTCAGATCCACTTCCTATTTAAACGTGATCAGACGGTCCATATCAAATCGCGACGAACGGTCTAGATTCACTTCCTATTTAAAGGCGATCGGACGGTTCAGATCAAACGCAATGAATGACCCAGATTAAAAGAAAACGGATATAAATAACTCTTTTCACACTGAACCCTAACCCTAACCGACAGACCCCCCCGCCGGAGAAAAAGAGCCAGTCGCCGAGAAAGGAGTCGATCACCGTTTGCCATCGAGCCGAAGCTACTTCCGAACGCCAAAAGAGGTAAAATTTTTCTCATTTGCTCGAAATTAAATTTTGAACACCCCATGGCCAAATCGGAGAAAAAGTACCGGCAAATGAGTTAGAAATCGCGGGCAAAACTTGGCGGTAGCGCTGTGGAAAAAAGCAAAAATCGCCTCCGATGAGACCCTTCCCGATTCCTGTTTCGTTTAACTTTTTCACCATTATAATCTCCATTCTTTTCAATACAGGTTGACCGAAGCAAAATACCCAATCGCGAAGGAGAGCTGGCAGAGCCCCCCAACTGGTAAACTCTGCTATTGGTAAGCTTTAGTTTTTTGACTTTTTTCGGCCAACTGAGACCCCTTAACATGTTTTCTTGCAGGGATGGTTACAAAACATGCCAAAATCAGCTGAAAAAGACCAAAACTGACCAACCCGAGGTAAACCGCTGCCATGGGCGGCAGTGCCATCGTCGGATCATGGCGGAGCCGATGTGCCAGAATTTCAGAATTGGCCAAAAGGGGTTTCTAACATTGATTTTAGATTTTTTTGAGATATTTCTAGGTACTTGAAGTGTGTTTTAATCCCTGAAGAAAATTTAGAGAACTCGGGGACCGTCAATAGGTACAATAGCATCTCAAACATCAATTTGTGTAAGAATCTCTCACCTTATTCCCTGTTATGAAATTGAAGTTTAATTAATAATAATCTGGTATTTTGTGTAGTTTAAAAAATATCTATAATTAATTACATGTCACTAATGGAGCTAAAACCGGTTATTTATTACTGTTTTTCGTGTTTATCTGATTAGTTGATTTTACAGTTTCGAATGAATGATAATACATTGAAATTGGTATGATGATGCGATTGTGTTTCCTTGATGCATGTATTGCTTGTTTTATGTAATTATAGTTAAATTAGGAAACTGGAAATTAAAGGTAAACGAAAAAAATTGTTTGATTAAGTAAATGGATGAACAGTAGCCTTACTGGATATCCTAGAAGATGGTGGACGGACCGGGTACATAGGGAACCCTATCGTGAACGTTGCCTCATACTGGACGGGATATCGAGGATTAGTATTTTGGTGCTCATATCGGACGAGGTATGGAGACGGCTCATTTCACCCTCATATCGGATGTGGTATTAAGGGATGGTATTTTGGTGCTCATACCGGACATAGTATGTGATGGTTCGTTAATTAAAATATTAAAAAAAAGG